CCCCAAAACCCCAAAACCCCAAAACCCCAAAACCCCAAAGTAACATTTGAATATGGAATTTTATTATATAATTTTAAATTAAATAGGTAAGTCTTCACTCTCATAACAATTAATATCCTTGCTTTACCTTTATTCCATTTTCTGCAAAATAGGCCTTGCTCTTCTGAAGTGTCCTCATTCATTAATTATGATAACTGAGAGATAATATTCATAGTTGTCTCCAAACTTTGAGTATTTTCACCTAAAACTATATCAAAGACATATTTCTTTTAAACTCAACTTTGCTAATCTAATGCAAAAAGCTGGATAATATATAACCTCACCTAAGAGAATCTTTTTAGAGTGATGAAGTCCCGTGGAGCAGATTCAGAATCCAGAAAGAATAGAAGACAATCGAAAAACAAAGGATCATTTTCTTCTAAAGATAACATCCCTAAGACCAAAACTTTGCATAGAAGACTTAAGAGCGAAGAAAGAACTACTTCAGTTTATCTAAACCCGAACCAAAATAAGAACAAGAAGATAGCTCATGATAGGTCAGCATCCAACAGGATGGGATTTAAAAATGAATTCGATGATTATTCCCAAGTAGCCACTTCTCGGAAAAATAGAAAAGGTAGTAAATAAACAGAAACCTGAAGGCACTCTACCTTTTGTTGGAAATAACTCATTTGGAGGATATACTTCGGGAATAAATCCAGTCTTCTCAATGCTTTCTTCTCTGAATAATTCAGCTGTGATCCTTGGAAACGAACAATCTTCAACATTGGATAAAAGCATTCAAGGAACTCATCAGAAACAGAATAACAGTGTAATGGGCCCAGGAGGTCTTAAAGGTACTACATTCTCTGGAATGAAGACAACAATGCTCAATTATGTCAAAGACCTTGATTATATGATGCCTAACGAGAGTCATAAGGCAAGCCTTCAGATGAATTCAGACAAGATGCATAATTATAGTGTGAATCTACATAACCAGAAATCCGCATCAAAGAAACCCTTGATTCTAACTACACAAAAGAGTGCCAAAAGAAGATCTGTTGATAGGGATCCTTCTAAAAATAAGCATAAGAGAAGCTCAAGTGATGGCACAAGAATAGTCAGCTCAAAAAGAAAGAAGAAGGAGCAAACTAAATCTCCATCTACTAACTCAGCATACTACAACAAGATGATTGCAGCATTTGGGAATGCAGGAAAATACCCAACCAAAACAATAAGAAAAGTTGTAAAACAAAATGGGAAACTTTACAGTCAAGGAGCTGCTATTCTCTCAAAGAAGAGAGGTAAAGATATCGGAAACAATAAATTGTCAAATTATTATGATCATAACAATTCTAAAAGTAATGATGCAAGACAAAAGAGTACTAATATCAGAAGTCTCCCCTTATCTCTCATGAATTCATTTGAGAAAAGAGGGAAAGAGAAGCAAATAATGAAAAAGAAAAAGGAACACTCTGTTCAGAATTACAAGAAGGTACCGAACCAAGTATTCTATCATAAAGGAAAAGTCAATGTCTCAGGACAGCATTTAAAATTCTCAAAACCTAAATCAAAAGGCAATGTCTCTCAGCATTCTGAGAATCAAACTCATCAATTTAGCAACAGCTTGGCTTTTAGTGGAGGAAATACCCCGATTTCTCCTCCATTCTACCAGGATATGAACGCCCATACCTTAGTGAAAGATAGAAAGCCAGATGGTTTACCATACACACTCTTCCCTCAGAATTGCCAAGGTAATGCTGGAAGTGGAATGAGCTATGATAATAAAGGAATGAAATATCCTTACCCAACTTTTGTGCAAAGGCCAGAAACAAATGTCAATGTATATGACGAGGAAATGGCTTTCCTCTCCTCTGGCGATCATACTAAGCAAAGTTCATTCTATAAAGATGCTAATAACAGCTTTACTTCTCAGACTTATGATAATAAGTCTAAAAAAACTAATATTAACAGAGAAGCCATTCATGGTTACTCTTACTCTAATGATCAAGGTTCTAAGAAAAGAGTTATAATGGATAAGAAGACTAAAATGAGCAAAATTTCAGAGATAATGGGATATAAGGATGCTACTAAATAAAACAAAAACAAAACAAAAGAGGCAATCTAAGACTGGGTTTCAAAGTAAGACATTTAAATGTTAATAAATAGATAGCAGAAAGAGCTCTAAATATGAAGATGAACCTCTCATCCCTGAGAACCCTAATGCTGGAGATAATGTCACAGACTTCAAAAATAATAAAGAGGAATTAATACAATTCTTACACGATAAAGATCTTAATCAAATCTCAGTAGATCAACCTTCCTTAAATTTTGTTGAATTCAAAGATCACCCTGGAAGAGATGCACCTAAAGCCAAAAAGAAATTTGTAACAAAAGGAGGAAAAAGCAAAGTGATGGAATACATAACAGGAGACAAAAAGGCAGAAGAAAAGAAATATTTCAGCAAACAGAACTCTCCAAGGTCTAAGATTCATAAAGTTAAGCCAAATAAAGGCCAATTAAAACCCCAGGATGAAGATAACAAAGACTCTAGTGTAAATAGTGCACAAATAGTGGAAATAATAAAAGCATCTTTCCTCAAGAATACCCCTCCTCAGACAAATGTTGACTTCTACAGAGCTGGGAAGATCTTAGGAAAAGGTGCCTTTGGGAAAGTGAGCCTTGCTCTACATAAACTCGCAAAGAAGTTAGTTGCTCTGAAGCTTCTTAATAAAGAGCTTATTAAAAGCGATTCCTCAAAAGATAAGGTAATGCAAGAGGTTAAAATTTTGAAAAGATTCAGACATCCCAATGTAGTGAAATTATACGAGACTTTCGAATCAGACAAGCACATTGTTGTTGTTATGGAACTCTGAGCTGGTGGAGATCTTCTAAACTACGTTAGAAAAAGAAGAAGACTCAAGGAAACATATGCCAAGTATATCTTCAAACAAATTATTGAAGGAATTGCCCATGTACACTCTAAAGGAATTCTTCACAGGGATATCAAGCTTGACAACATCCTTCTGGATGGAAAAGGAATAATTAAAATTGCTGATTTTGGGGTTTCAAGGATTGTGAAAAACATTGAAGATAAAATGACTGAACAGTGAGGAACACCTGCTTATATTGCTCCTGAAATTCTAAGGGACAATGGCTATTATGGGTTCGCTTGTGACCTATGGAGTGCAGGAGTTGTTCTTTATGCAATGCTCTATGGTACTGTCCCATTCAAAGCAAACAATATGCAAGATCTTCATAAGCTGATTATGAAATCAAAATATAGTTTGAAGGATGATATTTCCGAAGAGGCTCGGGATCTCTTAAAATGACTTCTGGAGAGAGATCCTACGAAAAGATTTACAGTTATGGATATCATGGCTCATGAATGGATGGAAGGGATAGAAGAAAATATGGTTCTCTTCAATGATCAAGAGACTCAACTTATAAGAAACGAGTTCACATTCAATAACACAAAAAGATACAATAGGAATACTAAAAATGCTAACCTAGAGTCAGATAGAAGCAGAAATACTGAGATGACAGAGTTGATTTCTGATTGATTCACTGAGCAGAGGCTAGATTCTTGAGAAGATGAACTTCTTAAGAATGTAAGCACAAAAAGTATAATCCTGGCTCCTTTTAACTCAACAAAAACTCATCTTTCCGATAAACTACATGAAAGCGTTGAAGATAATATTTTTGAAAAATGGAATGTGCTCAAATTCGATGTGAAGTGCAGAGAATTGGATAAAGAGTATGAGAGAAACTTCAATGACGAAGTTGATAATGGGGTTTATAATAAATTTGTCAACAATTCCATTAGAAATGATGAAGATGGCGAAAAAGCAAATGAAGAGTTGATTTCGCATCCTTCTACATTTATGGAAGCTAGTTCTAATGATGACTATATTAAGCAACTAAATAAAGTTTTTGGCAAAGGAAAGAAGGGAGATAGAAATAAAGACTTTGGAAAGATAGAAACAATGGTGAGCAACTATAATTTTAAGATAAACCAGGAAATTATCAAAAGCATGAATCAAAGGTATGAATATCCAATAGATTATATTGTAAAATGCCTCGATAGCAATGAGACAAATTACTGAACGACTACATACTATCTTCTATTGGTTGATCAAAATTATTAAATCAATTTTTATTCCAACACCTAAAATGATTTCAATGATAATATACCCTTCTGGGGTTTTGGGGTTTTGGGGTTTTGGGGTTTTGGGG